GGCGCCGCGACGCTCGGCCTACGCGCCCCAAATCAATATTATCGGTCGGCAGCGTCTGCGAAGCGACAGTATCTGGTGCAGGAGTACATCGCCGCCGCCAATACACCGACCGCCCCCGCACTAAATTACTCGCGACTGGCGCGGCCCTCGCCCTGGCCCTGGCCTTCGCGCGCCGCCCTGCTCCGCGCCTCTCCGCGCCCGCTTCGCGCCCACTGCTTCCAGACCGGATCAGCAATTTCTCCCGCGATCGTAAAACACGCGGCTACGCCAAGCGATAGCGCCGAATACTGCAGCTTCTTCCAAATTATTTACAGATGAGAGATTGCGGTATTCGGGGCGCCGTAGGGGGGGGTGACTTTACTGCCGACCAATTTCGTAAAATAGTGATTGCCTTCATTTTGTTGCAAGGTTTTATTTGTTTTAGTATATCTTCCTTTGCTAAGTCGTTTAATCAGTTTTTAATTCTCTTTTATATCGCTCCTTTTCGTTTTCGTAAAAAAAAATTCAACACTTTCGGTGGGAACACAAGTAAAATTTTTTGGCAGAAAATAATACAATTACATACACAGAACAAGTTAAACGACATAGTCACACCTGAAAAAACACCCCACTAACAAAACAGTACGCACATACATCAGATAGTAATATGTAGAAAAGATTCGGACCAGGTAGTCTCAAGCAATGTGTTGGCAAAATTTGAATTATTATCATCTATACGACCCTTAGCTTTTAGTTTGAGTCTCTGTAAAAAGAAGCAAATGTTCACTAGAAATATTCAGTAATATAGAAAGCAGCAATAATATAGAAAAAAAACTTAGTTGAAGTTTCATTATACTTGATATTCTACAGACAAATATAATGTCTGATAATTTGGTTTCAGTCTCAAGTGGTATTATATCTGTTCTTGAGCTTTTTATATTCGTCAAAATGAAAGCCGTTCTTTAATTTCGTTTTTTGAACAGTTTTTGTACCGCTTATTTGATATACATAATTTAATGCCTTTTTCGTATTTTAGCGTTATAATCGACCTTCTTCGTTTCAAGAAATCGTTCAAGAAAGGGCATCTTACGTCAGAGTTTCTGACGTATTTTTTGTTTATGGCACGAATAATTGCGTCATCATAAATTCAAGCAATCGCAGCTAGAGAATCGTGGGGAGATACAGGTAAACGGAACAGCCGCTCACCGATTTCTAGCACAGATGTCAAATTGCCGAGACTGTTATTCCCAAAATTAAGTTTGATTCTCTTATAAATTTATAATGCTGTTATACAAAACAAAATAGCGTATGCAACTCTTTTATAATGTTGCTTTATTGCATTCGTACAAATGTGAAAACTCGCTCCTAACGTCACTCAGTTTCAAAACATGCACTCGTGCGATAAAGCTGAAACTGATGAGGGAATTGCACAAGCCCCCGTTACGCGATCGCTTCCGCCAAACCCGATTTAAAGAGGGCCGGCGCTCGCGGAGGGCCGGAGGCCTGCGCGCACCTCCAGCCGCTCCCGCCGTCTGTTTACATCTCGTAAGTCCGAATATAAAGCAGTGTGTTGGTCTTGGCAGAAGCGGCCTGATCCACCGATCCAAAATTAGAAGGCGGGCGGCGAGGTGGTGGTGGCGGCGGCGGCGGCGGTTATGGAAGTGGCGCCGGCGATATCGCTGCTCACGCCGGCAGCATCGGTCGCCTCTGGGCTTCCTAGTTCTCACCGCAAGGGGGAGGCGGGCTCCAGAGTCCAAATGTAAATGTATTTTTGAAGAATTATAAATATGCTCAAAATAGCAATTTTTTGGATGTATTTAATAACAGGAAAGGGTGTCCAAAGGTCCGGGCCCTCATTTTGTTTTCGTCTATTTTTAAATGCAATTTTCTGCACAATTAAATTAAAGTATTTGCGATGCATACCTTGCTTAGTTATACAAATGTTATATTCCATTTAAAATTATTTACCCAGTAGTTTAATAATACATCCCCCCCTAAATATTACATTTTTTGGTCACGGATTGGCTATCCTAGGAGCACGCGAACGCGCCACTTGTTCGCGCCACATGCCCACCGAGGCCCAGTCAGATTCTTCCGGGGCACGTGCACGTGACCTTTTTGGGGGGACTCAGCATTTGTTTATGCAGAATCCGTTTTTTCACCCCAGGTTTGTTAGCCCTCGGGGGATGATCTATGAAATGATGATGATGATGATGATGATGATGATGATGACAAACATATAGACACAAACACACAACCACGAACGAGGCGAAGCACAAACCCGAGATGCTTCCATCCGAGATCACTACGGCACTACTGCCTTAGCGATCTCGGCTATCCGGATCGGCACGTTACATTTTGAGAATTTTAAAAAAAGGTTTCCTAATATGACCTTCCACAAACGTTTCAAGAAATGGGTAAAAATAAAAGAAAAAAACTGAAAATAGATTGAACTTCATATAATTTGACGCAAATAAATTGTTTTTATTTTAGAAAACGAAAAATTGCGAACCCGCGTTAGGAAGCTTTAGGGGGCTCGAGTTAGGCACCAGTGTCTTTATATTCCATATGCCAATAACATTTTTACAAGATAAGTAAAATAAATTAGATTACCCTACATCAATAACTTATAATGTCCCCTTCAAAATAATGTAATGGTTAAAAGACTTACCGACAAAGTAGCGAAATCCGACAACTAAGAATAAGTACTTGAAATAACTTCGCTTTTCACAGTTCGCACTAATGACTGACTGTCCGGCAACAAGTAAAGATAAAGAAACTACCGCTTATTTTTACAGGATACATTCTTTATCGTATTGGAAATAAATGCACATCTTTATTTAAACGTGTTCATTAATAAAAAAAATAATTTTTGTCGAAAAGTGCTGAAAATGTTAGGACAAAAAGTTATAATTAAAAAAAACGAACTATTTTTTAATCAACTCCAAAAATGTAAAAAAAAATAAGAAAGGTTTTATCTTTAAGTGTATAAAATATCAAAATTTTCTAGTTACCCCATTTAAAAAAGTCCCTTCATTGTCCATGGCTCAACGTAATTATTTTGCGAAACAGTCTTTGCCCCGCCGCTCTCGTTTTCGGCGCTTCGTTCTAACGGTTGCCATCGATTCTGTCGCTGCGAATTCCATGTAGGTTTGACGTGTTCGTTACTGGCGTCTTCCTCCTCCTCGCCATTACAGCTGTCGACCCTGCGCTTCACCACAACGAACTTGTCCTGTCGAAGTTCCATGTCTAATAGTTTGCTTGTCGCATATTACTTGTTCACTTTCAGTTTGTCGCAGCTGCTGGGAGAGCTGCTCTGCGATTATACCAGGCCACCGCCTTCGAGGCTCGGTATCCAATGCAGATCAGTGTGTGCAATAGGTCGCAATGAACCCAAACTAAAAGCGAACAACATATTAATTATTTATATTGAGAGAAATTAACTAGCTATAATATTGAAAAAAAGTGGGTAAACGGACTTTTGGGGTTTCCATGGCCAATCCTGGATCCACGAGTGGTTGTATCTTTCCTAGTTGCTTCCTGGTCTGTTTACAGGTACATATGTGATGCCAGGATCTAGATTTCGGCGACCTTACGTGAACACTCGCAGTTCCCTTTTCAGCCGATAGCAAATTTAAAGCGAACTACACCTCCTATTCCCAGATATGAAGATGAACATCGCGATTGCTCTACTCGTCGCCTGCATCCTCGATCTCGGGAATCCGCAGTGGCGGTTGTAATCACTTTGCTGACACACAACATAAATGGTACCGCTCATGTATTTACAAGTAGATATGATTTTCATCTCGCTATACAGGGATGTTAGGGAAACAATGTCATACCGACGTGCTTCTATATGGTGCAGATATATGGTGTTTTTCTGGAAGATTGTTAGCTCTCATACAATTATAATAGTAGAAGGATTGAATTTCTTTGAAGAAATGTGTATGGAAGATTGTGTATCTGTCGAAGAAACAAGAAGTTCGAAGGATCGGTTCATCTTATCATCTTCAAAATACTGTTGGCTCAGGAAACATTAACGACGCCGTCATCATCATCATTATCATCATCACCTCCTGGTCGAAGCCAATGGAGAAAAAATGGAGAACTCGGTTATCGTTTAACGCAACTGACATTATTGTCGCACAAAAACAAGATTTCTTCGAGTGAAGATTCGATTAATCGTCATCGTTAAATGTCCTATATACACTATTTCCGAAAAAAGTGTTAATTTTTCCTGTGATATTACGTAATTTGTCCTAAACAAAACAGTGAATCATGCATGCAACAAGATGAGTGCTTCTGGCTTGTTTTAATCCGGCGATTGGAAAGGCGTCACAAGCGAGGAACGCCTGCCTGCAACATACTCTTATTCTTCCCTCGGAATTTGGAAACCCGAAATTGAGACAAACCTGCTATTATGGTACCTCACTTTCATCTTCCCTTTTAGTTCAAATATAATGGTTTATTTAGTATCTTCAGCCTGTCTCAACGACGCAGTGGCTAGGGCCATTGTTCATGTATCAGGAGCCATATGCTGAGAGTTCTGTGTAAGGCGAGAGCTGATGCTGAGAGTTCAGTGTAAGGTGTTTTTTCATCAAGTAATAAGCTGCTTTCTAACGCTCCCCGTATCACAAAAATCCCGTCATCTCACCGATAATAACAATTCACGTATCATTTATTCATACCTCACATTCGTCTTACACTCCATATAATGGAACGCAATGGTAGTAAGCCACTACCGTGATCTTCAGCCGAGATAGGAGGCAATAGGTATTTGCAATCTTCCTAAACCACGCGCCTCAATCTCAAGACACGCTCCTGGAATAAAATCGCAATTATTGTCTTCATCGTCGTTTTCATCATCATCATCATCATCATCATCATCATCATCATTCTCGAACATTCGTCCTGAAGTAATAGAGAAACCACAAAAACCACTTATCAGATCACTCATCCTACGATTTCGATTCTGGTGAGAGCAGAAACTCACTGATGTTAAATGAGTGATGAGCGCCTACGCGTAAAGTTCCATAGTCAAAGTCTTTACGTAAACGATGTGCACCCAACGCACACTGCGTAATCTATATACGTAAAAGAAATCTGTAATTTTTTGCGGGGGAGAGAGGCGTTAAATAATGATATTGTTTTATTATTTCTTTAAATTTATTTGAGTTTTCATTCACGTTGATTATTTTTCGTTTTCATTTCATAATTATTTTTAGGTTTTGTACTACCTTAATTATTACGACGTTTCGCCAAATGTTTGAGCACCTATGCCTATAAATCCAGCTGATGAAACTTAATATTTATAAATATTAGTTTCCACATAATGAATTAAAAATAAAAATTCAAATATAAGTTTTACTACTATTACTTCTCATTGTAACATTTTTTTTATTTGATGTTAACTATTAAATTGTCATAGATTACATTGTCCACGTATCCTACAGGGGAAAAAATCCGTTGAAGTGACATGTAAATTACACGTACAAAGTAGGCATAGACGAAAAATTATAGTGACTACGTTCAACAGCAAGGATGGCCCCTCAATCACCGACACGCTCTCCCGCAAGGCGTCTCGTTTACGCTCGCCGCCACCGGAGTCGGTCAGAGACCTTGGGATTTTCGGATCTCAGACGGAGCGTCTGAGACGGCGGCGCGGGCGCTGTTTCGCGGAATGGAGCAGCGAGGAGAGTGGGGTCGTAGTGGGAGTGGCAAAATCGGCTTAACCGCAACGGAGCGCCAGCGAGCGTCTCGCCGCGTCGACAGCGCAGAGGATGGAAGCATTTGCGACACCGCCGCCACCGCCGCCGCCGCGGGCGGACGGGTGGGTGGGTGGTTTGAGTTGGTAGGTTGGTTGGTTGTTTAGGTAGGTGGCTCGGCGGGCGGGCGAGCGAGTGGGCGAGTGAGTGG